GCGCACATTAGAAACCAGATCTGATCATGTTCGCTTTTTTTGCACACTCAGTGTAGAATAGAAAAAAGTGATTTTAATCGAAATTAGAAAATTAATTGAAATTTTTTGACAAAAATCCTATTCCGGAAACAAAAGAGGACGAAGCGTAGGAAAAAGAGAGACCGGACTTTTATCGAGACAAAAGAATAGAGACGCAGAAAAAAAGAGATAGATAAAGAAATAAATCAATACAAAAAAAGAGATAAAGAGACTTTAAGAAAAGAGAGAGAGAGAGAGAGAGAGAGAGAGAGAGAGATAGAGAGAGAGAGAGAACAAAAGAGAAATAAAATATCCGAGAGATACGTAAGTGAGTGATAAAAATCATCGAATCGATTGCGTTTTGTCATCGCAACTAGCGATTCTCTGTTGGAGAAATCAGCGACTGAATCCAGTTTGGATGCTGCTTCAATTCGAAAAGGAATGTTAGCTTGACGTGAAATAGAGAAAATAATACGAGTTTTGTGATAGAAAAAAGCCAGCGAAAAAAACGAAACAAATAACAACAGCATGTTGGTCAATAATAATAATAATTTCACGCAATTCGACTGGTTAAGGCGCGATCGCGATATATGTGTATTTAATGTTTTGTTTGAGCATGATGATTAATTTATATTGTGGTTCCGACTTGTGATTTGAAGCGCAAGTGCAACAATGGACTGAAAATCCGTTACAATTTTTTTCTTCATCTTACTCTCTTCTGCTACGTGAAACGAAGTGCAATAGTGTTTTTTTTTTTTTTTTTTCAAAGAGAAAACCAAAATCCATTCGACGGTAATCATTCGGTCAGAAACATTGAGAGAGAAAAATTTATGAGTTGGAATTTGTTGTAAAAACTATTTGTTAATCGTGTTTGCGTCGAATAAATGAATTTAGTTTTGTAGCCGTTGAACGATCGACCAGGGCTGAAGAAGAAGAAGAATATAAGAAAAAAAAACGGCAATTAATAGGTATTTTTTCGTCCGCTAGACCGAACCAAGCGAAGCGCCTCTCGTGCACTGCACACAAACACACACATATTGCATATTGGCCATAACGTATTGGTCGAATAGGAATGGGACCGTTACAAGAGTCATTAGCAAAAGCATTGCCATCGCCGACGGCGTCGTCGCCGACGCCACCAACAACAACTCCACCGCAGCAGCAGCAACAACAAACATCGAAAGCAAAAAAACAACGCATGAAACAATCGACAAAGCACCATGAAGAAGCTGCAACAACAATGCAATGGCATGATAACATTAGTAGTTACAAGTGTTTCGAGACGATTGCAACGCCAAGTCCGATTCCAATAGCGAAAAGCAATCAAAATCGATCATTGCATCGATCCACATCGCTCGATAGTTTAGCCAGTTCGGAGCCAAATCATACCGACAATTCAAGTGAAGATAGTTGGTGCATTGAAGACAATAACGCCGATGACGAAACGGTCGACAAACAATCGGATTCATTGTCACAGTGTGATTCAATTACCGATCCAAAAGACGTGGACAATGATTTAAATGGTCAAGATTACGGTATTTATGAACCGTATTTCAATGAACCAGTGAATATAAATCGAGAAAAACCAATCATTACCGAACTTGTACGGAAAAAAAACGACGACAAATTATGTGAAAATCGAAATTGTGCGTATCGACATTTTGAACAACATCATTCAATTGAAGATTGTGCACCAACATATAGTGACAGTAATTATTCAGTAACACATCGAAACGCAGCGACAGCTGTGGGCGACGACAACAAATCCAAAGAACAAACACCAAATGTACCATTTATTTTGAATAAAACACGGCGAACCAGTGTTGTCAGCTCGGGATCCGTTTCACGAATGGAAACAATCGTCGAAGAACCCATCGAACCGAAAATATCTGTTAAAGAAATTTTGGCACGGTTTGAAACACTCACGTCACTTGAGGTATTATCACTTTTTTCGGGTGGATGTGGCTTAATCATTCCCCATCTAATGCATGTTTTTTCCTTTCTATTTTTCACCATTCTCTTGAGTTCGTTTTGAAGAATCGACTGGAAAGTCTAATTGAAGAAAATCTTTAATAACTTGTTAAGTGTAACAAGTTCATCGCTAATTATAACAGATTCATTTAATTCATTTTACAATCAGTTTGATTTGAAATTATCATGGATTTTGTGTGCGTAGCTTGGCAATCGAAAATGATAATTAAATTCGAATCGAAACTTTCAAATTGTGTGTTTTAAAAAAATGACATTCAACCAGTGCAACAGTGCATTAAATTTGATTCATAAAACTTCCGTTCGTATCGAAGTTCATTCCATTCCAAACACGAACATGCGTTATAAAGTCAATGACTCCGAGATTGTTATTGATCTTGAAATTGTTTTTTTTTTAACGAAATTTGGCAATGGTTGCCGGATATCTTTGAATTGTTGAAAGTAGTCTTCAGTCATGCCAAGAAATTTAGGGGTTTTCCGGTATTTCCGGAGCCCACATTAGGTGTGCGGAAAAGTAAAATGCTTATCATTAATCAACCGTTTTTTTTTCTCTTCCGAAATCCGTAGGTCCAATCAAAGGCATCAACAATATCGTCCGGAGCTCGAGCGGCTGCCCAAACATTGAATGTTCCAATCGAGCGGCTCGAAGCTCAAGTGCACGGTGCTGTCAAATCGCCCGGTTCACCAACAGTGAACAATAATCACTATGAAAAAAATCATCGTCATCACAGCACCGTCGACGAAATCATTCCCAGTCATCTCGAACAAAATGGCAAACATACATCACAACCGCACAGTTATGTATCACAAGAATCATCACATTCAAAATCACATCATTCACCGGCCCAATCACCGCAACAGCATTCGATGTCACCGCAACATGGCCACCACAAAAATGGCATGGCCATCGAAAACGGCCAACTAATACATTCGGACGAACAAGATGATCAACAACAATTCTCGGCATTAAGCGCAATGCAACCAACACCAATTGCAAATGCCAAGTACACACTTCTTCAATTTGCCATGCAACATTTTCGCGATGAGTAAGTAGTACAGTATTCAGTTAATTTTCACAGTTGGTGGAATTGCCATTTTTGGAAGCTTTCGAATGTGAGAAATACATACGCTCCATTTGATAAGTCGGAAACGACCAATAAGTAAAAAAACAAACAGTTCGGGCGTTTTTTCCTCTCTTTCGAAGCGCACGACAAAATTGAGTGATTAGAAATGAGAGAAAGAAAGGCGATGGAGAGAGAGAGAAAGTAAAAGTCGACGCACATAGAAGTGCACAAAACCATTATTAAACATTGAAAATAATTATGACTCGAAACAGATGTTGATTTCTTTTTGACTCTTTAGAGTTTTTATTCACATTTCGAGATGTAATTGGAATTTTTTAATTCCTGTAAACGCAGTGGTTTTCTGTAAAAACACACTTTTTATTGTGCAACGACGTCAATTTACATGCTTTTTGTCCGCATAGTTTTACGGTTGTCACCAGGTTTCTTTTGGTGACAAACATAAATTGTTTCGTCATTTTTAAATGGATTTTTTTGCTTTTCGAGTCAATTTTATGAGCTTCTTTCTGAGACTCGGAGCGTTTTGCGCTTTTTATGAGCGTTTTTTTTATGGAAACAACTGTTTTTATTGGGTATCAAGTTCAAAGTGATTTCTTTACGAGGCTCACGTGATTTTTTCAAATAAATTCAAAGAACCGCGTTGATTTCAATGCACAAACTCGTCTCTACGCATGGGTCTAGTTCAAAGTTGCATTTTTATCAAAAACCTCGACTCTCAATGCAAAATCCACAATGGAAACATTGATTTTGCAAACGAATCTTGAAGCTTCAAAGTAAAAATTTATCAAACATTGCAACCTGAATTCCCAGCGATTCTTCAATATCACGAATCATTCAACAATGGTTGAAAAAATCGATTAGCTCGAATGATTTCCTCAGCGGATCATGAAATCAAATTAACTTTGAGCTTTAATTACACACACACACACGCACACACACATCGATCAAAAACAAAACGAATTTCCCAGACGTCGCTGTTGTTGCCATGAAGACATTATTGTTTGTCTTTTTTCCGTTGTTTTCTGTGCACATTCGCACATGCACCGCAAAATTTCCGTTTCGCTGCCAACTCTTTATATGAAATGGCAATTAATTTCTTTCGGTTTGTTGTTTGGTCGGGGTATGAAAATTTTTTGATAAACAAACGGATGAATAGCATGAGAAGCGGTAGAGAGAGAGAGAGAGAGAGAGAGAGAGAGAGAGACTAAAAAAGGTAGAGCAAGACAAATAGAGATCAAGACAAAGAGAAACAAGAAAGAGAGAGAGAAAGAGAGAGAGAGAGAGAGAGAGAGAGAACAATGCGTGAAAACCTCCGCCGCCGATAATAAATAATAATCCAAATAGCGGAAACGTCTTTTCTTTTCAATTGTTAATTTACATAATCGTGTTCATTTCTTTTTCGTTATGTTTAGCCCGAAAGGTGCGATATTTAAACGGCATTTGATCAGATATACTCAAAAATTTCATTGCCCCCCAGTTATTGTTGTTGCTTTTCTTCCATTCGATCGATGATTTAATTATTATTTTCATTGTGATGGCGGAATTGAGAATTTCACATGTTTGTTGTTTTTTTTTTTCAATGACTTGCGCAACAATTACCAGCACATTATCGAGGCCTCACATTTAATTGGATCCAACATTTTCTATTTACATCTTCGCACTCGATGCGATTCAATGCAGAGAAAGAGCCTATCCAAATAACAACTCGCATCATGAAACGCTTTATTCAATTACCTCGAGTTTATTTATTGGATTCAATCGCAAAAGAAATCAACAATCTTCCATTGAGACTGTCTGTCTGCTTGTCTGCAAATACGTAGGTTGTTGTGGAAAATTTATTATGTGATTGATTTTTCAGCGTAAATTGATTTATTATTCATCTCATGATGATGAAACGCAATTCAATTTCAATTGGTGAGAAAATTACAATGTCGCTGAATAGATTTGTTTTGAAAATTGAGACAGAGCGTTGCAAAATCTAAACAAATGGAGATGATACTCTTCTTGATCTCTTCTGAATAGATGATCTGGTTGAAATCGATTTTTTTCCTTCAATCAAGAGAGAAGATAAAAAAGGAAAGTCGAGGTCGTAAAGTATTCCTCTTCGCTGACCTGATTAATTTCAATCAGATGGAGACATATCAGACTGTAGTGTTCAATAAGACCATTTGTCATGCCCGACACCGGTCGATGCCGATTTGGTATCGAGATTACGGTGTCTTTTGTTACTGCAACCGGCAAATACCAACAATTGTCAGTCAAGAGTCGGTCGTCTTTCTGGTATTCGGCATCGGACAGGCTACCAGGTAAGACACTCGAGTCTATGTAGTAAAAAACGTGAAAAAACTTTTTTTAACTATAGATGCGTAGAGGACCCGGGGTTTTACTTCCAACCCTCAGCCAATGAAATTTTAAACATTCCCTACGCTCAAAATTCAGTTTTGAATTGAATTTCGATTGACTTACCAAAAAACATTCTCTTTATTCAAAATCACTTTTTATCCATGCAAAATCTACGAATAACCATTAAAAGTGTCAATTATTTGTAAAAAATGTCTCGAAATGTGTCGTTTTGTTGTGTTCGCTCCAGTATCTTTCTCTACTGCATTTTGTTTATACTGTCCGATTCAATGTATTTGTGCGAATGACCATTGCATGTTTTCATTAAAATGTGTAAACTAACGGAGCGCACAAACGTCCATTTGATCGAAGGCATCGCGCGTAGAAAATTAGTTTGTGCATCAAAGCGTTACGACGAATTACAGTAAAATAACGAAAGAAATTCACATTAATTTAAAAAAAAACTATATATACTCGCATTGCGCTTGTTCGATCTGTTTGTTATGATCGTTTCTTCTTGGCATGCGATGTCGTGTTATCATGACCGAAAACGACATGTCTCTGCAGATCGATCTGGATCAGTGGAGATGCAAATTTTCACTCGTTCGACAAGCGTCATTGCTAGAAAAATGACCGAGTCATAAATTACCGATTGGTCGATACGATGGCTACCGGTTGATTGCTGTAGACACCAATCTCATTCAATGTAAATGCTAAACCTCATTTCATTTCGCTTTATTCACATCGGTAGTTGGAATTTGCATACCAATTTTAAGGCACGCAACTTCATTTCCATGACAATTGAAATGAATGGTCAATGCAGCTCACGGCGCTTTGTATGGGCGACTTTATTGTGTGCGGCCCAAACAAAAATTAGATGCGATTTAATTTATGGCTACACGGCCACAGCTTTTTGCTGCCTATCTTCGGTGACCATACGAAGCCATTGTTCGCACTCAAGCCAAACAAAAGATATAAAACACTGACTATTCACCGAAAAAAAGACGAAATCTAAAGACGATATCCACTTTTCGGTGGAAGTGGAAGACATGTATTGGAGCACATGCAAATCGACCGCAGAAATGGAACTCAGTCAACTTCTTACATTCACTCTCATCGCTACTATTTGTAATAGTCGTTTTTTCGGCAACAACGGGGAATTAAGTGAAAATAAACGAAAGTATTTTTGAGAAGAAGAGTGATTTTGAAATACAAACATTTTGAGAATGGTTTTGCGATGAAGTGAAGAAAATTTACATACTTTTCAATTTTGGAAGTGTTATTTGAAGGAAATTTGAAAGAAAAATCGATTAAAACTAAAAACGATCTCGAAAATTTTGTTTTTTATTTCCTTAATCTAGCAAATCCAAAAAATCGCACTCAAAATCGTAAAAAGATTCCAAAAGTTTGAGGATTTAGAAGTGAGAGTATAAGTCTGAATGTACTCATTTTTAAAGACAAATTGTACAAAAATTCGTAAAATGCCATTGAAAAAATGATCGACTTGGAGCAACCAGTGGAACAACCCTTCAAAAGGTACTCGTTACATTTAAAGTTTGAAATTGAGTTATGGAGTTACGGATCGGGCTCGATTGAAAGCATGATTACCGAGGAATTGGTGTGTGTCGAAGTCATTTTAAGACATTTTCACGATTTATTCTCCAGTTTCCATCTAAAATTTTCTGTGTAATTTATTTACTCGAAAATGATGCAAAATCGGTCAAGCAAGACTCTTTCGAGAGTGGAGTACGTTTCATCATGGAAAAATCTCAAATATTTCTTTAAATTTCTTTTAAATCTCAAAGACGTATATCGCTATCTCACGAAATTCAATAGAAAGAGACAAGGTGCCATTTTTGGTTTTGGGGTCTATCTCCATTCTAAGCATTTCAACAAAATATCATCACAACGACCAAAATGATGTTCTTTTATAAGTGTTTCAAAGATCCAATCACAATAAATTAGGTTTATTTGTGTCTTCAAACCGATTAAAATCAATTTTTATTTATCGATAGAAAATGAATGTTTTTTTCAACTGGCTCAAAATGGTTGACATTTTGCACAAAATTTTATTTGAAATTAGTTACGATTTAATCTTATTATGATTGAACAATCGAAGAAAAAGTAAAAACGCAACAAAGAGACAATAGAAGAGTCAAATCTCTTGTAATTCGATAAGAAAACTGATGAAACGAAATCTAATTTTGACGTTCAAAAGTCAAATTATTTCTAGCTCAATTTATGCCAATTTACAACACCTGATTAGCTGATTGGACATTAAAAACTAGTTTCGAGAATTATCATAATCAAATGACACTTGAATTTACCTCATTAAATAATATTTACCATTATTTTTACGTTCAAACATGTGACCTACCATTTTTGAAGAATTAAAGATCAATGGTCATTGAGTAAATGGCGGCATAAGCACAGTTGTTCAATGACGCAACTTTTGTTACACAATTAAATTAAAAAACTAATATCTTTTCGAATTGAACAACACTTGTAAGTTGCATCATTCTCAACAGAAAAAAAAGACATTTTAAAACTGAAAAAAAATAAACGAAAAAAGAAGAAGAAATAACATCGATATTTTTAACTTTTTAGACCTTCATTCGACATTTTTACCGAAATAAACTGACAAAGTAGCTCAGATTCACTGAAATAGAAAAATCACATTTAAAAAACTAACATTTTACGCTTTGTTTTACTAATAATAAAATTTAATGACTCATTTAAGCATTTTTCACAATGGTTTTTCGTGTTAATCTTCAGTGATAAAACAATTCAACTAATCGTTTTGCAAATTTCATTAATTTTCTTGTGTGTTTTCACAGTAATCAAGCGATTGAAGACCATGAATTGAATGGCCGTGCCAAAAAGCGTTCAACATCATCACGACCACATGCTGACTTGGTGAAATGGCAAGGAACTCCAATTCGTAGTCCATTGTTACGTTTACCGGTTGAGCTATCGCCGTTGGCTATTGAATGCTTTGAATGTATTCTACGGTATTGCGGCGACTTACCACCCGATCCAGAACTTACGGAAGTCAAATGCGTTTATACAATTTTAATGGTAAGAAAATCATGTTTGTGTGGGGATTTTTCAGTTTTTTATTGAAAAAGGAATCGATTTAAAAACATGACATTATTTTCTGCATACAGCATTGTCACAAGCATCTAACACTTCGCGATGAAGTCTACTGTCAATTGATGAAACAAACAACATCGAATCGATCATCAAATCCGGATTCGTGTCAAAGAGCCTGGCGTCTATTGAGCATTTTAGCGGCATATTTCAGCTGTTCCGATGCATTGAAACCATATTTGATGGAACACTTAACGGCTGCTGCATCGGATCGTCGTCGAACTGCACACGGAACGGCTTCGGTGTGTCTTTCAAATTTGCGTAAAACGGCTCGCTGTGGTGGACGAAAAAATGTGCCCAGCGTTGAAGAAGTGACGGCAGTTAGTGCGGGACGGTAAGTGATACTTCTTTTAACCTTTAAAAATCGATTTAATTTCATTTACATCAAAAATCGCCTTCACTTTAGGTCTGCGCGTCGTCAAATCTATCGTTTACCTGGTGGTGCTGAACGTGTTGTGAACACACGTGGTTCGACAGTTGTGGCTGATGTAATTTCTGAATTGTGTGCTTTGCTTGGAATTGATTCGCCCATTGAACAGCAAGAATTTTCCTTGTATTGTATTGTGCAAGGCGATGCATTCACAATGCCGTTGGCAGCCGACGAATACATATTGGATGTGACAACGGAACTATTGAAATCTGGTCAACCGTTTTATTTGATTTTTTGTCGTTCAGTTTGGCATTTTCCATTGAAACGTGATCCAATGCCAACGCTGCTATATGTTGAAGTGTTATTCAATCAAGTTGCACCCGATTACCTGGAAGGATTGTTGCTTGAATTGCCTGGTGGTGGTGCTCCACCGCCTGATGTTGTCCGTGACATGGCACGCATTGCTGTACTTTTACATCGTGCCGCCGATGTGAATCATGTACCAGCAATGAAAGAGATTAAATTTTTATTGCCAAAACCGGCGCTTGGCATTCGTGAACTACGACCAGCACAATGGGTGGCACTGGTGCAATCGGCTTGGCCATCGGTTGCCGGTTTGGAACCGGTTCAAGTGAAAGCACAATTTTTAGCCTTTCTCGCCGAATGGCCATTGTTTGGCAGTAGCTTCTTTGCCGTGCGAAAAGTATGGGCTGAAGATGGTTTAGCCGACGATTCTAGTCCAATTTGGAAGGAAATCATTTTAGCATTGAATCGACGCGGTGTCTTGTTCCTTGATCCAAACACACACGAAACGCTACGACATTGGCCATTCATGGAAGTCATTTCGACGCGAAAGGTAAGTGATCTCGATTTTTGTTGACTTCTTTCGTTTTGGACTGGACTAATTTTCCTTTCTTCCTCGGTCAGGTTCGTTCCGAAGACGGTGCATTGTTCTTGGATATGAAAGTGGGCAATTTAATGCAACAACGTGTGATTCGTGTGCAAACGGAGCAAGCGCACGAAATATCGCGTTTAATTCGACAATACATCACAATGGCCCAAATGAGCCGACCAGATCGACGCGAATGAATGCACACGACTCAACAGATGCAAAAATAAGAGAAAGCGAATTCGCATGTTTTTCTTCGATTCAATAAATTCAGTTATTTTTTGTTGTTGTATAGATTATCGGGTTTAAAAATGACGTTATAATTAAAACAAAGCAAACAATGTTATTTAATGAGTTTTTTTCGTTTTCAATATCTTTCATTTTATTCAATGCTAGAAAGTGAAGTAAACAATTTAATTTTGAAATTATGCTAAGCTATCGAATGAATAAATATAAAAATGTACTCGACTTGACTATTAATATTAATATGTACTTAACGAATACACTACTTGAAAATGGACACCTGATACACCCATGGAGTATAATATTTCCGATTGAAAACAGCAAAATTGAATGAATTTCAATTTGAAATACATTTTTTTCGAATTCCAACATCTTTTTATTAGATTATATGTCTTATAAATATAACAATGTATATTTTCTGTTGGAACATAGTAATATTGTAAAATTGTTCCAAAAACAAATCGAACATCGGTTTACGTATGATAAAAATCAAATATATTAATTGAAAAAATTGTGAGCTCTTCTTGATTGTTTTAATCATAAAAATAAGTCTTTATCATCAATTAAGTACTATTCTAGGGGGTAGACATGATTCATTTGATTCACTGTGATTCAACAGATTCACATTGTTTAGATGACATTTGAAATGTCACTTATGTGTCATGAAAGAAATATTTATTGATAAATTAAAATTATTTGTCTTCGAAAAAATGATTTCTTGACGTTTTTTTAAATGTATTAACTCATTTTTTTTATCTATTTCGTGTTTTTCTAGTAAATTCCAAATAAAATCAACAATAATATTTAGAATTTGTTGAACGATCATGTTAGTAAAACCAAAAGTGATGCTTATTTGACATTTGAATGATTCATTTGATTCACTGTGATTCACATGATTCAAAGTTTTATAATTCGTGTCTACCCCCTTGGTACTATTATTAAATTTGCTGGTTTACCTCAAACTTGAAAAACTGAATCAGTGGGTGAATTATACAAATTTGCCGATATACGTTTCGGTACAAAAAGAAGTTTTTTCGATCTTCAGACATTTACTCGTGTTATTCGCCTCCAGAACATTTGCTGGCAATATCATTCGTTCACAATATATTCGAACCTCCAAACGGTCTTCCACTAAAGCCAAGAGCGAATTGTATTCTTCCAAATTCATTTTTATGTTATCCACCTTGACGCGCAATCGTTTAAAATTTGTTGCACATTCCAAAATACATCTTATATCTGGGATCGTTAATGCGGACGACCCAACCGACCTACTAATTCTGATTTCTTCAAGATTCGGTGCGTTTAAAATGATATCGATCGGATCTTGGTTCAATTTGACTTCAATGCACAATTTCCGTAAATATTTCAATTTTCTTAATTGTGTTGTATCATTTATATGATTTCCAACAATCGTTAATTCTTCAATGCGCACATCATTTGCAGCCAGTGCATCAAACAAGCGCTCAAAATTCAAGTCACTATGAAATGTTGGAAATTCTAGACGCAAATATTGCAGTTTTCGCAGTCTACTCAATGGTACAAGATTATCAGTGGGAAATTTCCAATAAAATTGAATAAATAAATTATTCAAACGTGGCAACAATTTTGGAATTTTACCGATAAGGAATTCCCATGCGGGTCCTCTATCCAATCGTAATTTTAACCTTGTGAGCTGAGGATTGAACTGTAGAAATTTCAAAAGATTCGGTCTACCGATAATATTCTCTATCGACCCACGGAAATAAAATTCTTCCAACATTGTAAAATGTCGTTCGAATGCATTTCCCTCACATTCATCCAAATTTAAAGCAACCAATTGGGAATGTATGGGCCTGCGGAAATGTGGAACTTTGAAACCTTTAACACTCAGTTTTTTAAGAGCGTGAAGTTGTGGTCGAGTCTTCAATTTGAACTCTTCTTCTACCATAAGGTTTTGTCGCTCGACTTTCAATTCAGTCAATGTTTTGCCAAATGCATCCGCAATCAGGTTCAAATTCTTTTTGATAGGATATCTTCTTGAAATCACCCAAGTTATTGATTGTACTGGAACACCCTCAAGTTCAAGAAATTTTCGCACTTGCTCTATGGTTATATCATTTGGACCTTGTGTCTGTTTATCTTCTCGAATATGCAATGCTAACAATTTCGACGATAAACCGAACCTGGCATTCTTTTTAAATCGCGTACATGTTTCAATCGCATTTAGATAATCTTGAACACTATTTAACTTTCGTAACATTGCTTGAATGCAATCATCATTGAGTGCATTTAAAATGTTCTGTGGTGATTCTTGTGCTGGTGGAATTTGCACGTCGTAAAGCGAACGTTCGGGCAAACGATATTTTTTGACCAAATTGATAATTTCGGTGATGTATTCATTATGGAACTTAACTTCGTTTAAATAAAATAACTGAAGAAATTCTTCAAACGCTCCGGGTGATGTGTGCGGCAATTCAACTTCCATGTTGGCATTTTCAGTTGATTCTCCGTAGAACATTTCGTTGAATGCGTTGCTTAACGTCGACAGAATCAATTTATGCGCTGGAACACGGTCCTTTTGATCACCACACACAAAGTACACATCGGCCTTTTCTGGATTTAGGTATAAGTTTTGCGTAGCTTGCGACGCCAAATCACTTCTTCTTACTACCAATTCAGCACGATTGTCATCATTCTCTATGCGACGACGTTTCGCTGGTTGAGATGTAGATGCACACATCATGACCGAGAGAAGATATTGATTAAATTGAAAAAAAAAAACACCAAAAATATTTAACTAAATGATTTTTCACGAGATGTATCAGATATTTTCAGCTTGAATGCACGCTTAAAACTGAAAACATCAAGCAAATACCAGCAAAGTCATTAGAAAGTTCTACGTCATCGGGCATACGTTTAGTATTATTATTGTAGGTAAATGCCAATAGATGTCGATACATACAGATTTACATTTTGCACTAACACTACCATTCATCACTATTCAACTACGTGTTTTATTGAAAATCCGAGCTTTCGATCGTTATCGCGATCTTCTTCAGGGCTAAAATATACAATACAACAATGTTACAAACTAATTCTTCGACACATTCCATTAACAATAAACCAAATCACATGAATCAAAACTTACAAACAATGGTAACTGCAGTTTCAAAGTCAATTATGTTTCCTGTTGCAAACATTGCATGGTCAAAAATTAATTTAGTGCACATTAGATAATAATAACAATTTTTTCAAAACAACCCAAAGAGAGTAATGAATTACAGTAATGAACTGTAAGCAATACAATGCATGAGTTAGAAAACTTCAATGTAATAAAAACGTCAATAGATGACTTTAAAAGGATTTAAAACCTAACAAAACCTTATGTATTCAGTACATAGCAACTGCATATGTACGGCTGGTAATAAAAGAGACTTTAAGCAGAAAAAATCTTAAACGTGTCTCATAATTTGTATAGGATTTACATAAGATGGAGACGGTTTAAAAAAACTTAAAGTCACTTTTATTCTCAGCCGATCATAGAAACTATATAACAAAAAACTCATAAAACCTAACATACTTTACAATAAATGGTCTTACGAACGTAAGACGAACTTTTCCGCACTGTTTAACCGCAGTACACCACAAACGTTTCTTATTTTAAGCAATGGAATCATTTTTCAATGACATTCAAAAAAATATGTCTGACGTTAATTTTGCCATAGAAATTATTTTTGAAACACTTTCCATAACTAATGTCACAAAAAATTTGGATTTTTGTATGGGAGCCATGTCTGTATGCTACCTTAATGGTGTGAAACTTTGCACAGGTTGTTTTTTCACAAAAAAATAACATTCGGAGGGTTTGGAGAAATTTCAACCAAAATTAAGAGTACCTCCCATGCGAAATATTCGTTTTTGAGCCAAAAACTGAAAATGTTGTATGGGAGGTACCCCTAATTTTGATTGAAATCTCTTCAAACTTTCAGAATGTTATTTTTTTGCGTAAAAAATAGTCTGTGCAAAGTTTCACGTCATTAAAGTAGCATACAGGCATGGCTCCCATACAAAAATGCAATTTTTTTGTGATTTTTTTAAGGAAACTGTATCAAAAATTGATTGTATCTCAAAACTAACCTCGGATTCGGTTTTCTCGTGCCAAAAAAACCCCCAATACATATTTTTGAGTGTTTAAGTCTACATTAAGTATGACTTTTGGACGAAAATTGGACTCTTTTTCATAGGTATCACTACAGGCATGAAATTTTTTTCCATCGACCAAAGTCGCTCAAAAGCTAATGATTTCTATTCCTCGGGGCCCCCAATCATCCTGTAAAGTCAGATTTTGAATTAAGTTTCTACTATGAGCGCAATCTTGCTAACAAATTTTGCGTACGACGTACAACGTACGACGTACAACGTACGACGTACAACGTAC